GGCACTTTTACAGTGCCAAAGCACTGGAAACTGGTAAGAGAGGTTCCAGGACCTGGTAATGGTGGCAGGCCAAAAAAGGTTGCAAGAGCTGGTAATGATGGCAGTCCAGGAGAGGCAACAGGAGCTGGTAATGGTGGCAACACAGGAGAGGTAATAGGCCAGCAATGATGGCAGGATCTGAAAATGGTGGCAGTACAGGGGGGTGGCTGCATTGGTAGCAGGAGCTGGTAATGATGTTCGTAATGATGTAAAGGTACAACTTTTCTCAGTAGCATCAATTTCAGGGGTGCTAATCCGGGACTTATTCTTCTTTATGAAAGTGAGCTGGTTCAGTGTCAGAGGACAATTGTATCTGTCTCTCTATCACAAAACTGCTTTGTAAATTGAAGATCATTTCAGATAGTACACTAGTTGCAGGGCATACCATAAGCTTCAGCTTATATTGTGCAAGCTCCAGCCAGTGGTTTAGCCTGGACACCCAATAGTCCTCACTTCAAAGAGTGTCTCACTCCTAGATCCCAAGTAATTTTCAATCAGTTTCAGGTACTGCCTGAAACTGCTGCCTGTCAACAGTGGTTGGAGGCAGCCACTACCACTGATGCTCCTCCTTTCAGTGATCTGGGGCTTGAAGGCACATTGGACGCATTTTTTCACTCTAGGAAAATGCAGGCAAGAGGTTCCTCTGCAGCACCTCTTCTAACTGCTACTTCTAAATTGTGCATTTTTTTCATTTGCAGAACCTGCTTGCTCTCTACTAGCTGTATGTGCAGTAGCAGCTAAACAACAGCTGATTGTGTAGCAATCAATAATGTAGCTCACCACACTGCAATTCACAGTAAAGAAGCAAAACACAGAACCATATAGCAATGTACTGTATAGCAGCAACTACAGGTGAAACTCAAAAAATTAGAATATCGTGCAAAAGTTCATCTATTTCAGTAATGCAACTTAAAAGGTGAAACTAATATATGAGATAGACTTATTACATGCAAAGCAAGATAGTTCAAGCCGTGATTTGTCATAATTGTGATGATTATGGCTTACAGCTCATGAAAACCCCAAATCCACAATCTCAGAAGATTAGAATATTGTGAAAAGGTGCAATATTCTAGGCTCAAAGTGTCCCACTCTAATCAGCTAATTAAGCCATAACACCTGCAAAGGGTTCCTGAGTCTTTAAATGGTCTCTCAGTCTGGTTCAGTAGGAATCACAATCATGGGAAAGACTGCTGACCTGACAGTTGTGCAGAAAACCATCATTGACACCCTCCATGAGGAGGGAAAGCCTCAAAAGGTAATTGCAAAAGAAGTTGGATGTTCCCAAAGTGCTTTATCAAAGCACATTAATAGAAAGTTATGTGGAAGGGAAAAGTGTGGAAGAAAAGGTGCACAAGCAGCAGGGATGACCGCAGCCTGGAGAGGATTGTCAGGAAAAGGGCATTCAAAAGTGTTGGGGACTTTCACAAGGAGTGGACTGAGGCTGGAGTCAGTGCATCAAGAGCCACCACACACAGACTGATCCTGGACATGGGCTTCAAATGTCGTATTCCTCTTGTCCTCTTCCTTAACAACAAACAATGTCAGAAGCGTCTTACCTGGGCTAAAGAAAAACAGACCTGGTCTGTTGCTCAGTGGTCCAAAGTCCTCTTTCTGATGAGAGCAACTTTTGCATCTCATTTCGAAACCAAGGACCCAGAGTATGGAGAAAGAATGGAGAGGAACACACTGCAAGATGCTTGAAGTCCAGTGTGAAGTTTCCACAGTCTGTATTGATTGGGGAGCCATGTCATCTGCTGGTGTTGGTCCACTGTGCTTCATTAAGTCCAGGGTCAATGCAGCCGTCTACCAAGAGATTTTGGAATACTTCATGCTTCCTTCCACAGATGAGCTTTATGGGGATGCTGACTTCATTCTCCAGCAGGACTTGGCACCTGCCCACACAGCCAAAAGCACCAAAACCTGGTTCAATGACCGTGGGATTACTGTGCTTGATTGGCCAGAAAACTCGCCTGACCTGAACTCCATAGAGAATCTATGGGGCATTGCCAAGAGAAAGATGAGAGACATGAGACCGAACAATGCAGAAGAGCTGAAGGCCGCTATTGAAGCATCCTGGTCTTCCATAACACCTCAGCAGTGCCACAAGCTGATAGCGTCCATGCCACGATGTATTGAGGCACTAATTGCTGCAAAAGGGGCCCAAACCAATTACTGAGTACATATGCATGCTTATACTTTTCAGAGGTCCGATATTGTTCTATGTGCAATCCTTGTTTTATTGATTGCATGTAATATTCTAATTTTCTGAGATTGTGAATTTGGGGTTTTCATGAGCTGTAAGCCATAATCATCACAATTATGACAAATCACGGCTTGAACTATCTTGCTTTGCATGCAATGAGTCTATCTCATATATTAGTTTCACCTTTTAAGTTGCATTACTGAAATAAATGAACTTTTGCACGATATTCTAATTTTTCGAGTTTCACCTGTATCTGTTTTTGCAAAATGTGCCACAATGCTGCATTGTGTATAGCATTGTATAGCACATTGTAGAAGCAACTATCTCTTACTGCAAAATGTAGCACAAAACAGTATGTTTGAAATAGCACTGTACCACACAACAATCTCTCCTAGCACATACTGCCAGCTCCCGCTATCTATTCCAACACACACTGACAAGTCTGCTGGAAACCTTCCCTTTTATAAGAAGGGGGCCTGGGGAAATCTTCATTACTGAACATTCTAAGCCACATGGCCTAAGTCCAAAGGCCATGCACTTCTGGTAGTTGACTGCTATGAAGGCTTAAGCTACATTGGTTCACCCAGTCCATGAATCATGAACACCACTGTAAACCCATCATTGATTAAATGCTGAAGCTCATCCCTGGTTATAACAATTGCTTTAATAGGACATTGCTGACCTTCTTAAAAAGTGTACTAAGACATAGCTTCTTCATGTAACCAATTTTGGTATCAAAGTATTATATGCACAGATAACATTTTGGATGCTGTTATAGTCATGTAAATATGAAATAATGCATATAACAATTACATATTTGCCCCTAGAAACCAGCAGGTGGTTAATACTTGTCTGGTACTATAGGGTAGTAGTACTATAAATGATTTGCTGCCTTGCTGTAAATAGAGATATGAATATCAGGATGTTAGTACACACACTCTTAAATGAGTCAGCTAACAGAATGAGAGGAGAAACACCACCCTCCTCTAATTATAGAGATGGTGCCATTGGGATCTTCAGTCTGCAGAAGTAACTAGTGCAAATATAAAACTGTGCAATCTTACTATGTTTGTCAGTATGCTAGTCACAATCTTTAGCCAGAAAGAGTACTGTATTAAGCTTATTAAATTTATTTGAGGGGGGGGAATAAAATTTTTGTATTACAAAAATAATTACATAAGATATTTGTTTGTAAACTTTGTGATAGGGCTGCTGCCAGGAACTGGATCACCTGCTGGTGGCACTGCAATTTCCAGACCAGCAGAGGGTGTCTCCCAGCAGCTAGCAGATCCCAGCACTTAGTTTTCACCTGATGCTCACGCTCGATGGGGGTATTTAGTTCCTCATTTACTATTCCCCCTTGCTTCAGTGGTTTGCCTGTTACCCAGATGCATGCTTATATGAAGCATGAAACACACATAGTTACATAGTAAATCTGCCTGAAAAATTACACAAGAATTCCATCCAGTTCAACCAACAGAGAAAACAAAAGACACACACACACAAATAGAAAACTTTCATATACACTATCCACTATTCATAGTTGAACTAGAGAAAGGCAAAAAACCCCAATAAAATATGAATCAGATTGCTCCAGCAGGGGAAAAAATCCTTCCTGATCCCTCAAGAGGCAATCGAATATTCCTTGAGCTGGCCAGAACCAACTCTTGAGGGAGTCTATTGCACAATTTCACAGCTCTTACTAACAGATAAAAAGAGAGCTCTCTTGTCCTTTGCGATGACCTTAAGGTGAATAACTCAACATCAAGTTCACTATATGGACCAGTTATGTCTTTATCCATTTTGATCACATCCCCCCTTAACCAGTGGCAGACTCTTGATGTGTTAGATATGCCCAAAAAGTCATCATTGTACACAGGGCGTGTGTAATAAATCCAGTCCTTCTGCCAGGATCTCCCCTGTCCCAGTATTCAGCAATTCAGCTCTGATTAATCAAAGAGTACAAAGAAAACGTTGTGACAGCTGGAGCTGCCATATTAAAGCAGTTTGGCAATGTTTATCAATAACATTGCTCAAAAGAAACATTGTTTCATTTTGTATCTATTTATTCATCTACAGATCCAAGGGAATAACTTCCATCTGCTGATGAAGTCAGTTAAATGAACCTGACAAGTAAAAAAAGAAAGTGTGTTTTTTTTAATTTAATTAAATGTTCCCCTTATGAACCCTTAGTTTACGCTAATCAGCCCTAATTAACTCCTTATTCTCCTCCATACATTTATAATTTTCCTGCTGATTTTATTTTTTGTTAATTTCTATTTTATTAATTAATAGTTAAAATTTTTCGTTTTTTGCTTGTTCATTAATATTTTTACTCCTTTAACACATGTATATCTACAAATTTCACATTTAGAAAAGCGCAAAATTGAAAAACCCACTTTATTTCATTTGTGAATAACTTTCCAATGCCTTGTACCAGAATCATAATTTTGCACTTTTTATGTGCAGTAATACTATTTCTTTTTAAACTCACACTGCTAAAAAAAAAAAAAAAATAAAGTGTGTTTGTTAGGTTTCATTATGTACTGTATATTTGTTTAAGGATTGTGGAAAAAATCATTGGTGCAAGACAATGTTCATGAAAAGAAAGCCCTGTTTGTCCTTATAAAAACAATATATGTATTACATTTTTATTTTATGTAATGTCAAAGTTATCGCTGAATAAACAGGCCCATAGCAGAAAAGTAAAAATTGCTCTGGTCCATAAGGGGTAAACAGGTATGACAGCCAAAGTGGTTAACCTTCCTGGTGGTATTCCCGAGTGTAGCTCAGGGTAAAGTTTCATTACCACAAGCGGTAACCCCGAGCTACACTCGAGCTTACCATGCAGCGCTGCTCTGGGATCCCTCGATCACTTACCTTGCCCTGCGCTCCCACGATGTCCCTCCTGCAGTGTCCCCGGCAATGTAATCCGGCGGATGCCGGCATCTGTCATCTGGGTTTTGTCCCCTGCGAGCGTAGGGACATATGGGGGGACGGAGCGGCGGGAAATTTGAAAATGACAAAAAGTGACATTCACTAAAATCACATAGTAAAACATTACTGTATCAAAGCATTTCACATACATTTTGTCCCTAGTGCTTTGTCCTGTGCCCTGCCTGCATTTTTACTGTTCTTTCTGCCTGGAAACTGAGAAACGTCCATGGCGTCCAAAAAACGTCCCTTTATGTCAAAAGCCATTTTAGACCAGCTAGAGAACAGTGATAGTAAATTAGAACCACTTGCAGAATTGAGTGATGATTCGTGGGGAAATTCATCATCAGACACTGAAAACGATTTTGCGACTTTGCTCAGTGATGTGCAAACATGGCGCTATATTTCCAATTTCAGTGTCTTTGGTTTGATTATATTATTGAATTAAATTTATTATTATATTATTTTTTATGATTATTTATTAAATTATAATTTATGATTTCGTGTTTCAAATTTTATCATACCCGGGATGTTTACTAGACTCTTGTTCGGACAGATTTCAGTGAGTTATGCCTAAAAAATTACAGGCCTACAATTAAAAAAATACATAATTCTATGCAAAAAAATGTACCGCTTTGAGCACAGAAATATGGACATAATCAGACCGCTAGGGAGGTTAATCTCTTCTCAAGAGAGAGTGCATTCAGTTCAGCTAATCATTCCTCATAACTGAATTGCGGCTTATCAGTTTTTGCTGCCCTTCTCTGTACTTTTTCCACTTCCCTGATCCTTTTTGTGAATTGGTGCCCAAAACAGAATTGCATATTCTAGATGAGGTATTACTAATGATTTGTACAGGGGCAATATGATATCTCTTTCTGGAGTCTGTACCTCTTTTAATACAAGAAAGGAGTTTGCTCGCTTTGGAAACCACAGCTTGGCATTGTATGCTATTATTAAACTTATTATCTACTAGAACATCCAAATCCTTCTCCACCATTGATTCCCCCAGTTGTACTTCCTCTAGTATGTATGATGCATGAACATTTTTTAGCCCCCAAGTGCATAACTTTACATTTATCAACATTAACCATTTGACCTCAAGAGGATTTACCCCCCTTCCTGACCAGGCCATTGTTTTGTGATACGGCGCTGCATTCATTTAACTGACAACTGTGTGGTCATACAACACTGCACCCAAATTAAATTTAAGTCCTTTTTCCCCACAAATAGAGCTTTCTTTTGGTGGAATTTGATCACCTCTGAATTTTTTATTTTTCACATTATAAACAAAAACAAATGAGTGAAATATTGTTGCGCTTATGAATAGAATTTTATTGCAAATGAACCGTAAGCAGCAGTCCTAATTTGTGAACCAATAAACACAAAAAACAAACAAATACCATATGGACCACACATACAGAAAGTGCTGATGACAATCTATTGGTCGAAACGCATCAAGGTTTGATGATGCAACTTCCACTGAAGTCACTTTCGCCCTTTGAAACGCACCTGGAACGCTGTGGCCATCTTGGTTTTCATTCAGAAGCAACAAGGCTGAATACACAGAGTGCCAGGTTATGGGCACTTTGCTTGAGAGGAGGAATTCTGACACAGCCCTTGTGAAGTTACACCGTTACCATCAGCAACATGGTTTAAAATCCTGTCATAGAACATTAGTTACCACCATCAACACTGCATACCCCCCTCCCCCCTGGAAGGATTATTGGTACCATTACAATGCAGCACTCTGGGATAGCCCAAAAAAAGTGCATGAGACCATCCTAGAGATAAGTGGTCAAGAGATGATGGTGAGTGCACATCCATGTGGGGCACAATTTTTGAGCACAGTAGAGTACCTGGCATTTTTAACGAAGTTCACAATTAAGCATTCAGCACTTCAATTTATTTCATGTGTAGTAATCACAAGTATATATATTTTTTATAGCACTAAGTTTAGTGTATGCGCAGTCCATATGGTATTTATAAACAAAAACAGACGGACAATTATGGAAAAAAAAAACAATATTTTTGACCTTTTGTCTATAAAACATATCCAGTAAAAAAATGTTAAAAATCAAGTTTAGTCATAAATTTAGGCCAAAATGTATTTTTCTACATATTTTTGCTAAAAAAAAAAATCCCAATACATGTAAATTAATTGGTTTACTTGAAAGTTATAGTGTCTATAAATGGCTTTATATATACACTGGATTTTTTTATTTTTTTTATACTAGTAATGGCAGTGGCATTCTGACATCGGGGGGAACTGACTAACTGCTACTGATACAGTGATCAGTGCTAATAAAATGCACTGACACTGTACTAATGACACTGAGCAGGATGGGGTTAACATCTGGGGTGATCAAAGGGTTAACTGTGTGCTGTGTTCAGGGTCGGACTGACCATTTGGAAACTCGGGCACTGGCCAAAGGCCCGGGGTCAGTAGGGGGCCCCATGAGATGTCCCTGGTACCTTTTTCATAGGCTTTTTTGAGTTTGGGCAAGGACACAGGGGCCCCATGATCCCCTATTACCCGGGGACCCCATGAGTTGTCAGTCCGCCCCTGGCTGTGTTTTACTGTATGTGCTGTGTGTGTTTTACTATGTAAACATGCAACTGTGTATTTCTCTGCTGTGCACAGAAGTACACAGCAGCATGTTTACACACAGGTCTCTCCCGTCACTGTCCCTTGGCGATTACCGGGTGGTGGTGGGGAATTTCCGGCTGGGACCAAGTGATCGACATCTGTAGCCACCAATGGTGGTACAGATAGGGCAACATGTGCGCCCCCCTACCCGGAAATGTGAAATCAGGTATATCTATACGTGATGTTGCACAGCATTGCCACCCTGTATCAGTACTTCTGCTATAGGGCAGTGGGGAAGCAGTTAAACTTCATTTACCACATAGTTGCCAAACCGTGCATTGAGGTAAGTTGAAACATCCTGTAAGGATGTTCCACTGCATAGTTTGATGTCATCTGCAAAGACTGAAATTTTCAAGCCTGTTGACTTTACCTTACACATTAGCTGTGTGTGGTGAACTGTGTCAAACAATTTTGCAAAATCCATGTAAACCATGTCCACAGCCATTTCTTTGTCTAAGGTTTTGCTTACCTAAAATAAAAAGAAATCAGATTCGTCTGACAACTTCTGTCTTTCATGAATCCATGCTGTCTGCTGCTTAAAATATTTTTTACAGCAAGAGCTCAACTTTGTGATCGTTAAACTCTCCAGTATCTTAACAGGTCCATGGTTACTTGGTAAAGACTTTGATCATTTTTTAAATATAGGCACCACGTTGTCCTTACGCCAGTCCAGTGGTACTATACCAGTCATTAAAGAGTCCCTAAAAATTTGAAACAATGGCTTTGAAACGACAGAGCTCAATTCTTTTAGGACCCGTGGGTGTATGCCATCTGGTCCAGGTGCTTTATTCACCTTTATTCTGTCTAAATATTTCTAAACCATATCAATTTTGAGCCATTATGTATCATTTGGAGCTGTCTCAATATCATCCCCATTATGGACATGAGCTCCCTCATTTTACTTTGAATACACAGAGCTGAAGAAAGTATTTAATAAATTAGCCTTCTCTTTGTCCCCAGTCACCCACTCTAGATTATTTTGTAAAGGGCCTACATGCTCAGAACTGGCCTGTTTACTATTAATATATTTGAAGAATTTCTTTGGGTTTGTCCTACTCTCTTCGGCAATCTGCCATTTGTTTTAAGGCCTTGATTTCCTTTTTACATATTCTGTTATATTCCTTGTAACATTTAAATGACAATAGTGTTTCCGCATTTTTGCATTTATAAAAGCTCTTAATGCGTAATTAACCTGACCCAGTAACAATCACTCTCAGGCTGTGGCACATAGATTGTGGTCCAGTGAGCTGGAAAATCTTTGTGCAGGGTGCAGCTGAGTGTGGCATTGTTACGCACGTGACAGCACGGTTTTAGATTGGCTAGTCCTTCGGTCACAAGTTGGTGAGAAGGGCTGGGGGTCTGACGCTGCCCCCGTCACAGCCACCTCCTCATTAACACTGGGTAGTCTATAACAAACGTCATTGATTAACTTTGTAGTATGCACATCCATATGCAGTTCCACCCATAATGCTTCAGCACCATTTGTAAGAAAGGGTTAACTTCTGTGTTACATGTATTTATTGACAGGTTCATACGTTTACCCTTTCAGATTTGTGGATGTAGCACAATGCTTAACACAAATGCACAAATAGTATAGTAATAAAAGAGATTACTTAGCTTCATTTAAAGATGGAGTACAGAAAATAAAACAAGATATATTCAATCCCTCAATCCAGGGAGCCCCCCCAACTTCTGCAAACATTGGAAAATATTGGAGTTCAAGGCACATTCACTATTCAGTCCTACAAGGGGCTCTGAAGAATGCCTTTGTGTCCCGTGTGTATGTATATATATATATATATATATATATATATATATATATATATATATATATATATATATATTAAAGGGGGCTCCTATAAAAACTGAATTTAGCCAGTTCTAACAAATGGATGTCTTTAACGTTTTTGAGACAGTGAATGTGACCATCTGTACACTTGTGTTAAGGTCACTGAGAGTTTACTTCTCACAGAGACAGACACGAAAACCTTTCCTTTTTACCCTGTCTCTCCAAAAGAGAGCATTGCCAGATACATTAATATCCCAGTCATGTGAGGAGTGAAGCCAAGATTCAGCATTACCAATTAAATCATAGTTCGCTTGTTCACCTAAGTTTTCAACTCATCTATTTTGCTGGCCAGACTTCTGGCACTGGTGAACAATCACTTTATTATAATGTCACATTTTGCATGCGTATTTTGCAGAATTTTTATTTTAGTACAAATAGTACCATTTTCAATGGTTGTTTGTAACATGGGAACTTCCTTTTCACCTGCCATAGCCCTCCTCCCATCTTTCCCCATTTCAACCACCAATAAGGACTGACCCCTGTCTGACCTGTCTTCCCTATTATAAATTTCTCCCTCCCCCCTCAATCCTAGTTTAAATACTCCTCCAGCCTTCCCATTAACCCCTTCCCCAGCACAGCAGAACCCCTTCCATTTAGGTGCAAACCATCTTTAGCATACATGTTGTATCCCGGAGAAAAGTCAGCCCCAGTACTCTAGAAACCCAAATCATTCCCTCTTACATCAGGTCTTTAGCCATGCATTCAGTTCTCTAAGCTCCCTCATCTTACCTGGGTTTTGCATAGCACAGGCAATATTTCAGAGACTATTACCTTGGAGGTCGTTCCCTTCAACTTGGAGCTTAGTTCTTTAAATTGATTCTTAAGGAGCCTCCACCTTCCATGTATTCTGTGATTGGCTCTAACATGGACCCTCCTAGTAATTTATTAACCAGGTTAACCACATGCCAAACCCTGGCACCTGGGAGACAGCAAACTACCGAGACAACAAATTATTCTGTCCTTCTGATTACAGAATCCCCCATTACCACCAACTGTCTAGGCCTTCCTACACTGACCTCACCACCCCTACTAGATGGGCTGTTCTCCCAGCTGTTAGGGGTAGCAGTGACATCTAGGACTGCCACTTCTGAGTTTGCAACCCCCACATCTTCCCCCAACTTGGCAAATCTGTTTGGGTGCTCAAACCCAGGGATGGCCTTCCTTTTCTATGAGCTGCTACCACTCCCTCTGACTGCAGTAACCCATCTTCCTACCTGATAGTTCTGACTTACCCCTTCACATCAACCCCATTAACCACCTGCTCATAACCCCATTAACCACATCATATAACCCCTGCATACACACACACGTTAGAGCTTGATTCAAATAGTGTCTAGAGAAAAAGGTAATATACTTGAACAAATGACACATATATTGACATTTAATTTGCATAACGAACTTTAACAAAAGCACAGATTTGTAATATAAAAAACTAAGTACACCCTTATATTTATTACCACTTCAAATAAAAAATAGAATCTGATGTTCTAAATTAGGTGCCAATGATTAGATCCTGCTTAGGGAATATGTGGGTGGAATCTGTCTTATTTATACTTCAAACATCTATAATCTGGTGTTCTCTTTGTTATTGAAATGAATAAATTCACCTTGCCAAAATCAGTGGAGCTCTCTAAGGCTCTCAGAAATAAAGTTGTAGATGCCTGTAAGTCTGGAAAGGGATTTAAAAAGATTGTCAAAATTATTTTAAATCAATCATTCCACCTTAAAGAAAATAGCCTACAAATGGTGTAGATTTCATATAACTGCTTGGCTTTTCTTGCTCAATTTTATTAAAAGAAAGTTCAACGTTCCAGAGATAAAAATCAATGGGTTTTCCTCACAGGGGTTTTCAGGTTTTTCAACTCAAAGAAATCCACATTCAGCCTCCTGGCTTACCCATACAGTACTCCTGCTCTGGCCTTACACTTTAGGCGCTTTGTCTCCTACAGACAGTCTTCATACAGAACAATATGTACATAACTTGCAGCCCTTTTCTGCTCTGACTCCCACCTGTCTCTCCTAGGTGGAGCCTTCCTGACTCCTGGACAAAGACCTCCTTTTGGCTGGGGTGGAGCCCAGAATCATGGTAAGGTCACTGCTAAAAGCCCAACACACACCTGACCAATTAGTGTGCTCATGGTTCTAAAACCCTGGACCCAGGATTGAAGATTTCATCCCTCCCAGATCACTATGAAATCTCCGGTCTCCAAGTCCCAAAATGGACTTTACTAAACAATAAGGAAACTGAAAAGCCAGTTTCTTCTGCATGACAAATGCTCCCTGGAGCCCCTCAACCTGTTTAGATTAGAATTCTGGGTCAATAACTCTTTTAAGACCCTAGCAGGGCACTTACATATACTGTATTGGTATGTATATTTACCAGCCCATGCATACCTTTCTGTTGTGGCACGTTCACCCTGGAGGTCTGTAGCTGCCTTAAGCACTGTTGTGTTTCTGGTGTGTTGCTTTAAAGAAAAAGTACTGTTTCCAGGTAAGCTTACTGTAAATGTATATATTGCTACATGTGTCCCATTGTACAGAACTCAGAAAATTATAATTTGTGGACCACACTAACAAAACCTCTGATGTCAACTAAAACATTTTAGTCAGGTTATTATTCTGTCTAGCTGGGGAATGTGCTGGGAATAAGTCACACACATACACTACTAATACACATATGTAAAAACAAAATATAAATTAATGAATTTCTCGAAATGTATCAACATAAAAAACAACTGACCCCAAATCCTTATAATTTCCCTTTAAAATTAAAGATTTTCATAAATTCCGCATGATCAATTTCCCAGCATTCTGCATACTAATTTTCTCACATTTCCCGCTATATAAATTCCCTCCCAGGGGACCAGCGGTAATAAAGGAGTGTACAATTAGCATCTTTGTTTCATATGGCAAACATTGACAAGCAAGCATTCTTGCACCAAGTCAAGGATCCAATATTGACAATTTTATACAAAGCCTCTAGCCATTCTGCCTTGTAATGGTGACATATCACCTTGCACCAACCAGGAACTTATTTCAAGTACTATGCATAATGAGTGAGCTACGCTCTAATATGCATGTTTTATTGACCTGCAGATTGAAGAGAGGTAGAAAATGTACACAGGACGTTATAAGGGGAAGAGGACATTTCAAAGAGTGTAATGAGGAAGTTGCCAATACAGATTTACTGCAAATGAGTACTAATCAATATGGCAGAGTAATTAAAAAGGAGGGAAAAAAGGTTATTTATGACTTCAGGATACAAGTAGCTGTTGATCCAGTAAACAAGTTCATAAAGCTTGGAAATAGTCTTATTTTAGCAGTTTGTACCAATTACTTGTAGCAAGACATTAGACGTGTACACATTATGTGGTAATTGGATAGACTTAATGTTTCATCAGACATGAGCAGAAATAAAGTAAAAAGGAGTAAGCAAACAGAATATATAACTTTTGTGTTTCTACAAGAAGCAAGACTGCATATTAAACAGATAGATACTCCTATATGCATAGAAGTGAGTCGGCAAATGGGTAAAACCATAATATGGCCAGAAAATGTAATTTTCCTTTAAGGGCTATGCCCAAGAGAACATTTATCAAGGCTCTTTTAAAAAGTACAAATATTTGCCCCATAGGGTCACCATGATTGGTGGCGGTGGTCATCAAAAATTGCAAGGAGTTAAAACTGTGTCGGAGAAGCTAAACAGCACTTCATGGAGGAGAGTTACTAAAACTGGTGCCCTCAGTATCTGGTGCTGCTGTGCATGGTAGCCAGTCAGCTTCTAACTTCATCTCGTAGAATTAAGCTTTAGCAATAAACTTTGGAAGCTGATTGGTTTCTATGCAGAGCTGCACCAGATTTTGCAATCTCCAGTTTTAGTAAACAACTCCACATATCTTGCCTGCCATCTTGTCTGAAAGCAAGGAGAATGTACCTTTAAACTGTATTCTATGCTGTATGCTGTCCTAATCACTCTTAAATGATGATGTCCTTTTGTACAAGCTCAGCCTTCTATGTTTTTTGTTTTAACCTGAGATTTGTACTATTAATATATTTTAAGAATTTTTGGGGGACTGTCCTGCTATCTTTTGTTCGTTTTCAATTTTATTTCCTTTTTACATTTTCTGTTATATTCTTTAAAACGTTTAAACTATGATAGCGTTCCTTCATTTTTTATATTTTATAAAAGCTATTTTCTTATTATTTATAGCTATTTTAACTTTGGCCATAAGCCACATAGGTTTCATTTTTAGCCTTTTAAACTTGTTGCCCATGGGAATATATTTTGCAGTGTGTTCACAGGTAGTCTTTTTGAAGAACTCCCATTTCTGTCCTGTGTTCATCCATGCCAATATTTCCTCCCAGTCGAAGTCTTGGAGAGCAGCTCTCAGACTTGGAAAATTAGCTTTTTTAAAATTGAGTGTTTTTATTTTTCCTGTATGTACTTGTTGTTTACAGCTGACAATAAATTAATCATTTTATGGCCACTGCTACCCAGATGTTCTTTTATATCGACATTTGTAATAAACTCTGCATGATTTGAGATTACCAGGTCCAGCAGAGCATCATTGCTAGTTGGGGCCTCTATGACCTGTACCATAAACTTTTCTTGTAGTAGGCTTATACATTTTTGCCCTTTAACTGTTCCTGCAGTGTCATTACTCAAATTTCTGCTAAAGAGGGCAGCACTAGCTTCTAAGGCCAAGGGTGTACTTAATTAGTGCAGGGCTTAAAAGTTCAAGTCCTGAGCTACTAGCCAAGCCTTAAGAGTAACACACACAGAGACACCTGTACACACACACACAGACACGTACATACACACAGACACATGTACACACACGCACAGCGACACATGTACACACACACACACATATACAGACGCATGTACATACACGCACAGGCACGTACAGACATGCATACACACAGATACATGTACATACACAGAAATACACACGCACAGACACATGTACATACAGACACATGTATGTACACATTCACACATGTACATGCATGCACACACAGACACGTACACATACATGTACATACACACAGACACACGTACAAATACACACATGTACATACACACAGACACGTGTACAAATACACACATGTACATACACACAGACACATGAACACAGACAAAATGCACACACACATGTATACACACACAGGCACATACAGACATGCATACACACAGATACATGTACATACACAGAAATACATATGCACAGACACATGTACATACAGACACAGGCACATGTACGTACACACACATGTACATGCACACACACAAACACATGTACATACATGCAGACACATGTACAGATACACACATGTACATACACACATGCACGCTGTTAAGTGCTCTCTTCTCCCCTGAAGCCACCACTGGCTGACAGAGGATCATGTGACCAGAGTGAGCTAAAATTAGGTAGACACACCCTATAAAAAGTTGCAGTACTTCGTTGTTCACTCACAGAGCCAGGTACTGCAGTCTAGGGGGAGGCAGAGAGCACAGCACACACTCCTTCCTTTGATTTTACTGCGCTCAGCTATTGAGCAGTCTGAGGACTCCCAATGACAGATCCAGCCTGAGCTCCGAGCCTGCTCAGCAAGACAGCCCTGGGGCACACACTCGCCCCCACCATAATTTCCACTCACCATTGGCGAGCAAGCGAGTGAAAATTTTAAGGCCTGGTATACAGTAAACCTTTACTGCGGTTGATATTTTTGTTGACTACTGGATTAAAAAGAAAAAATTGCCTTGTGTATTTTTTATTTAAGTATATAATCGTTATCTGTATGGTTTGAATGAGTATTTAAAGTGATACTAAACCCAGGACCCAGCATTCACTATATCTGGTCTCTCACAGTACACAGAACATGGAAATGCTATTATTTTAGTTAAACTGCTAAATACCTTTTCTCATCAGCAGTTAGAGCAGTCTTGTGATTTCTATCAGTGTCCAGCTGAGTACTGGTTAAAGCTTGTAGGAGGTGTTTTCATTCTTCTCTAGGAGGATGGAGAACCCCCGACCTCTGTCTGGGCAGTGCTGATTGGCTCTGTGCTGATCACATGCACTCTACCAAGAAAAAAAACCTCTCTAGCAATACACACTAAACTGAGCATGTGCAGAGTGTCTCCACACGATATATCTTATCAGGAGATAAGACAGCATTTGTACGCAATGCAGAGGATTAACCCCTTAGGTTTCACAGTGATTATAACAATCATGCTTTACTGCAGATACAGACTGATTTTACTGTTGTGGGTTTAGTAACACTTTTGCTTTTGTTTTCAAATGTGTAGATGAAGTCAGTCATTTTGTTTAAACCAACTCTCATAAAAAGGGAAATGCTGAGTACTTGGTGTGTATTCTTATATAATATGTCATTTTTAATAAAACATTAAGGAGAGGATTTACTGGAGCACTCAGAACCTGGTGCAGCTGTGCATGGTCACCAACCAGCTTCTAACATAAGCTTGTTCAATTAAGCTTTAACAATAAAACCTGAAAACTGATTGGTTTCTATGCAGACCTGTACCAGGTTTTGCCCGCTCCAATTTTAGTAAATTTCCCCCCATGTGTTTTAGGGCATTGCTACAGAATAAGAATAGTCCTATTAGTATTATACATGAATACATACAATATAAGTTCATTTATTTTGCTATCAAGGTATTTTTTGTTTTATCTTTAATTTTGTCTTGGTGGTCTGGGTGTGTGTGTGTGTATGTCTATGTATGCACACGTGTCAAGGTGTGTCTGTATGTATGTATGATTGTATAGCAACTTTATTAGTAATTTGTACAATATATTTGAATTATTAATTATTGTGTAACTTTCTACTGATGGGAAGTTAGATAATTTATTATTATTAATAATAATAATAATAATAATAAATAATAATGATAATAATAATTACAAAGAAAGGGTGGGAATAAATAAGCTAGAACTTCTTCCCACTCCTTTTCGGGTATATGTAAATCTATTTTGTTTACAGTTTTATGTTTTCTTTTGTAATCAGTTTTTTTGCTGTCTGTCTACTACTGTGTGATTGTAACTTATACAGTAACGTATTTTAAATATTTTTTTTTTATAGTAAGAAAAGTTCTTGCATGGGGGTGGGGGGTTACCAATGGAATGAAACTAACCTTGCAAATACAGATGGTGATAATTTATTGAGGCATATATAGCATGGGAGAGGAAGCATAAATCTCTATTGTATTTGGACTTACTAAAAGCTAGTTTACAAGGCTCTAGAGTAGAAGTAGAAAGGAACGGGTCAATTTCCTCAGTCCAGGACAACATTACTATTCCTCATGGAGATTAAAAGTCGAACCTTGTGCTTATAGATAAAACAAAAACATGAAAAACATTATTTATTCATTTTTTTTATTTTTGTGAACATGGTTATTAGTTGAAGAACTAATTAAAAGTAGTTGACAGTGGTGTCCAAATCAGGAAAATGTATATATATATATATATATATATATATATATATATATATATACACATACACACACACACACACTGTATATCTAAACTACAGTATATCTATCTACAGGGGGTTAGACAAAAAAATGGGAAACACTGCAACATATTTCGCATTGAAAGAGGAAGTGATGTAACATTCTTTTGTTTCTGCTATGTGATAAGCAGGGGCAGACTGACAACTCATGGGGCCCCCGGGCAATAGGGAATCATGGGGCCCCTGTGTCCTTGCCCAAACTCAAAAAAGCCTATGAAAAAGATACCAGGGGCATCTCATAGGGCCCCCTACTGACCCCAGGCCCTCGAGCAGTGGGCCGAGTTTCCAAATGGTCAGTCCACCCCTGATAATGAGACACCTAGTTAACGGCTGGGAAGCCTCACTTTCACCGATCACTGCTTGCACTGCTAGTGATACGGAGTGATGTCAGAGCTTACTGAGCTTCAAAGAGGGCAAATTGTTGGTGCCCGCTTAGCTGGTGCCTCTGTACCTAAAATTACCGATTTGTTTGCCATATCGCAAGGTGCAGTATCAAAGGTTATGACGGCATATACAGTTTCCGGGAAAACATCTGATAAGCATAAGTGCGGTTGTCATAGTCAACTGACCGATCGAGACAAAAGGACATTGCACAGGATTGTGACCTGGAATAAGAAAACAACTGCTGTAAAAGTGACTGCAGAGCTCAATCTCAGTCTTCATGAGACTCCCAAATGCAAGTATTCATTTGTACCTACCAGTTACTGTGCTGGAAGCGTGCAGCCTCTCTGCGTGAAAACCTACCTGCCGGTAGGCCATGTGTATGTATGCCTAAGGTCGGAACTAATTAGGGAATTGGGGGGGGGTAGATTTTTATGTAACGTAAAAGTTGCAGATGTGTTTTTACGGTCTATTCACGTGCATCTTTCACAATCATAATAGGCTAAATGTGTGTTTTAAATAGCCATAGTTCTAATTTTTTTTGCTGGCTGTCATTTTTTTTTTTTCCATAGCTTGCCCAAGTTGACATGCACTTCAGTGCTAATCTGCTGCATGAGTATTTTCATCTGACATTTTTCCTAATTGTTGCTGGCTTCAATTTTTTAAAGGCCCTTTTTTGTAAAAACTGTGTAATATTCTTGGGAAATGTGCATCTGCACAGAAATATTTTTTTTCCTTTTGGGAGGCATGTGGAAGGGCTATCATCAGGCAAGAGATGTTGGAGTTAGAAACAGGGGCATAACATTACAGAGAGTATATACTTAGGTGCTGCCTGGTAGTGTGAATACCCCAAAAAACAAAAAATCAAGAGAATGGCGCTAACACCTAGCTGTGTGATAGTACACAGTGAATCAAACAAAAATTGTGGTATAGTGCAATCTCACACACACAGATATAAAAACTGCAAATCTTAACATAACATTTGCATATATACGTCATATGGTGCATATCATATATCACATATTGATTTGATATATGTTATGCACCATATGAAGTATATATGCAAATTATGTTAAGAATTGCAGCACTGGGGATGTGGTAAATGTACAAAGTTTTTATATCTATGTGTGCGAGATTGTGCTATACCACAATTATTGTTTATTTAGGGGCATAGCATTGTCACTCTGTAGGATAAAGTTCCCAAAAAAGCACCTTTATGTCAGTATCGTCAGCTGTGAAAAGATTGTATGACATTTTAGTTGTTGGGTTTACATCTACTTTAACCCCTTAGTGACTGAGGGTAAAACAAATGTTAATGCATTAACACAATTTTGCAACTTTGACATGTGTTAATAAAAACCATACATATCATAACTATTTTGTGCATCCAGGTGGATTATACCATGTTTCATTTCAGGACAAATTAGGTTTTCTTTTGGTGGTAAACGGTATTGGATATCTCCTGATTTTTCTTTTTTTATTGCCCCCCAAAAAAAAAAAAAAAAAAACAGGCCCAAAATAGTAAAAGCAATCCTTTTTTTTATTAAATGTTGCTGTATATTTCTGACCACTACCGTAACCTACCACCAAAGAACAACCCAACAAAAATTCTCCTGCTCCTTACGATGGCAGCGATACCACATATGTGTATATTATTTGTACCTGTAGTATAGCCCAGAAACAACAGTGTATATTTTGCTTTTGTATTCTAACTAAAACATACTGCCACTAACTGACACAAACTTTAAAAATGCTTTTCTTTTTTATTTTATTGTAAAACCTGCCCAAAAAAAATACCGACCATGACCTTTGACCCTTACTTGAGCCAAACAGTAACCCTGGGACTGGCCTAGCTCCAACCTTAATCTAGCTATATTTTCTTTATTTTTTTTTTTTTTTTTTTTTTTTTTTTACACACATTTGTTTACATAGCTTTCTTCCTGCAAGGAGAGATACAATGTAAGTAAACACGGGAGGTCTGCACAGTGATTGATCACTGTGGTAGCCAATCACACCGATCAGGTGACCTGGCACTAGGATACCCAGGTCCCAATCATTAGTACGGGAGAGAGCCCGGACTCTGTGCTGGGAGTGTGCTGCACAGACAGATATGCATATGTGACCACATTGAAAAAAAAGCCCAGTTCAGTGAGGCTGTATATATGCATATGGTCAGTGGGAAGTGGTTTTCACGCTGTGCTTGGGTTCTTTGAATTGCAGCTACATTTTCTTATGTGCCCTGCCTGTATGGATAGATCTGAACATCCCAAAAAACATTTAAAGGACAAATTATCTGTTCACAACAATTGACTGATAGCTAGATGTTCAATTGTCAACACCTTAGCTACCCTTTTCTATTAAATGGGGTCTTTTCTCATAAGATTTAAAAAAATTTAGACTTGGGATGATTTGTGCACATTATGTAGTTGTTGCTCACTGATAGTCATTTCAAGAGTTTTTTTGTTTGCATTATTTGAAAAAGAAATGCAAGAACAGTGTTTACCTAAACCACCTCACATTACATTACTCACATCCATTGCTCCCACTTATCTTCAGAGTAAATAAAAGGCAGACATACAATAGTTAGGCCTATTATCCCTGAGTAAAACTCCTGAAGAAAAAAAAGGGGTTGGGGGGTTGGAGTGTACTCGGTATACAGTGTACTGTATAAACTAGTGCCACGTCCTGATTAGATCAGACAAGAAAAATAGAAAAAGAGGGAAGTTTTATAGTTTATAGTTTCTGTGCCTCTAAAGTCCATCTGCACTTCCCTCTTTTGCTCTTTTTCTTC